GAGTGCTAGAAAAAAATTCGTCAAAAATTTTAAAAAAGTTCAAGTTTCTTCTAGAATGTTCCCAAATTTCTCACAGAAATATCATAAGAGGACACTACTCACTTGTGTGCGCATAACATATCCAGAAATTCCATGACGTCATAGTCAACAAACAGATTAAGTCTTATCTTCAACATTTTTTCCTTCTAGAGATGTTGTAATTTTGCGACAGAACCGCTTAGAGGGGGCTTCAAGACCAAATACTTGATACAAGTTTGATTCGGTAGGTTTCAGCAAGGATTCAATCTAGTGAAAGAGTAATGCTGAATATGGAGTGGCAGTTAGGCCTTTTCTGGTTAAATAACCAAGAAAGAAGTATAACCTAGTATTTATAGGCATGATTAGTGTCCCTAATCGGCAATTCCATGGGATTCTCTATAATATAAACGAAAAAACCTGGGAAAATGCGATATCTTGCAGGCATTTTCAAATGAAATGTCAAATGCGCATTGAAAGCGCTACTACGGTTCTGGGTAGAAGTCGAATGCGTGGCCCATCAGGGAACAGATTTGATCAACTACAAAAGGCTTTGTATTCTGTTCCTTATGTTGCTACCATTGGACTTGTTGGATTCATGCGATCAGATTTCATTATCGAATCTTGGTTCTTTGCCAAGCCATCTACTAGGTATTCAAACTTATGGATTCCTTCTTGAAACGAGCTCAGCTTCCCTGTCGAAAAAGTTATTGGATATGATCTTTGTTTTTGTTTAACCTTGGCTTCTAATACACTCTTCTCCTTCGAAAACCTGTGAAACGGCCAAAGAAACTCGTTCTCGGACGTTTGAATATTTCTTCCACAACTAGGTTGTACTATTTCAACTTTGACCAGAATAAAACTATTTACTTGCAAATATTCAACCAGACCTTCCTATAGTCTAAGATTTCCGTCGTAGTGAGTGATTCTGAAAAAACTTACAAAAAACTCTCTCAACAACTTGCTTAGGTAGAACAAATGACACAGCTCTTCTCGAACTTTCGTAATTCAAGTTTTCTGTTAACGAAACTTCTGTGAAAGCTTAATCTTTCCTCAATTTTTGTTGAGCTT